AAGTGGCTCTCCTACTTTTCCCACCAAGGGTCACACAAGGAGGAAGTTCATGCATAGGACATTCTAGAGTCCTGTGGCCTCTGTATTCTAGCTACAGTGCTACCTTTCTCTCCCCATCAGGAAAGCATATTGGGAGGCTAGGGAGTGAGAATAACGATATTTTGGGTTAATATTTAATTCATTCTAATTTATTCAAAAATGTGTCTAATGTCACATGGTAGCTATTAATACTAACATGACTGGCAACCCCTCACGACTGCCTATGACAATTCTTGTGGGTCCTTCTGCCATGTCTAAGGACTCTCTGGATGAGGAGATGGTGAGAGAATACACATTCTAATTTTGTCTTTTGTGTGAAGATCTTATGTGAAAATCTTTCTGGGAATTAGAGTTTTCTAAAGGGATCTCTATTTCCTAAGGTCCTGATAACTCTTACTAGTGTTTGCCAATTAATTCTGTGAGACCCAAATGTGTGCAGGGCCTGGACACTTTATCTCAGACTAGGTCTCTTCCTGAACCCTCTGCTATTTCCCAAATATTGTCACAGGTGGACTGGGTAGCTAGACTCATATTTGTGTTTGCCTTGACAACTCAGGATGACTCTTGAAGCAGACTGCCCGTGAACTGTCACTGCTTGGATCACTTCTTTGGGAGACTAAGAGAACTTGACTGTGTGCAAGTCAGCAGTAAGGACTGACTACTGGATTAGGTGGGCCACGTGGTTACCAGCTTGTGGCGGCCTTTTGGCATCTTGTGGTCTAACTTAGAGTAAAGGCCAAAGTCCTCACTGTGACCTTCAAGGCTCTTTGTGATTCGTGCCCCCAGGTCTCTGACTTCACCTCTAACTAGTCCCCCTCACTTGCTTAGCCTCCTTCCTCAATGGCCTCTCTGCTGGCTCCTTGAACCACCCCAGGCCCTTTGTACCTGCTATTCCCTCTGCCTCAGCATGCTCTGTCCCAGACAGTTGCAGTGCTAACATCTTACTTCCTTCAGGTTTTACTCAGAAATGACTTTCTCAGTGGGATCTTCCATGACCATCCTATTTAAGATTTCAACTACTTTGCCAGCATTTAACTTTCCCTCCCTTGATCTTTTCTTCCAAGCACCCACTGCCCTCTACGCTGTATCTTTTACTTATCTTGTTCAGTTTCTGGCTGCCTCACCACAATGTACATTCCACAAGGGCAGAGATTTTGTCTGTTTTGTTGATTGCTGTAGCCCTGGCATCTTGAGCAGTGCCCGCCACATGGTGGAATTAAATAAATATTTACTGAATGAATGAGTGGCTTCATGCTGAAAAGCAAGAAGAGTGACCTTCATAGAGAAGTAGGAAAATCAAACGTTGCACAGATAAAGGGCCATGTACAGAGAGAGAGAGAGAGAGAGAGAGAGAGAGAGAGAGAGAGAAAGAGAGAGAGAGAAAAAGAGAGAGAGAGAGAGAGAGAGAGATGAAATGCTGACAGATTTTTTGAAAACGTTCCGGTTCCCACTTCTCGTCTTTCCTAGACCAGAATTTTACTTTCTATCTATGGTTTATCCCTAAAAATTTCATTTTCTTAAGTTACTTTAATTGGGCTTGTCTTTATTGCTACCAAAAATCTCTAAGCCAGAAAAAAAAAAAAAGTCAAACTAGAAGATGATAATTGTTTTCTCAACACCCAGGGTGTCTTTGGAGAATGAGGTTCTCACGCAGCATTTAGTTTTGTGGTTCTCTTCCCTGTTTCCTTTCTTGGATAACTAGGTCACAGACAGCTGGTGTTTCCCATGTGGCAAAGGGAGCACACACAGAAATCCCCGCCTCCTCTCTCTTTGCTTTTCAAGCCCTGCTGAATGCCTCCTAATGATTTCATCTGCTTGGAGGTCTGCTGGCTTTTCCACTCTAGTAGAAGAAGGTGGTGGCGCCGGGGGCTGAAGCATGCTCTGACTACTGACTTGAAACATGCTTTGATGAATTAGTGCAACTCGGCCAGCCATTTACTTTAAATTTTACCCTTGATTCTTCCTCTAGCAAACAATTAAGGAGCAGCAGTGGCTTCCTGCAGGGGAGACCAATGCCTTCTGTCCTCTGTGGAAACAGCCTGGCATTCTTCCAATTGATGAATGGCATGGACCAGGAGCACCAGTTATTTTCAGCTTCTGAGTATCCAAATAAATAAACATACAAATGCGTAACATTAAATAAATTCAGATTACCAATGAGAAAACCGATCCAGGTAACTGACAGTTTCTGACTTGATGTGGAGGCTTGGAAATGTATCCTTGAACCTCGCAATGCAGTGAGCCAAGGAGCGATGAGAGGCCACATGAATAACTGGGCCAGTGACAAGACACATGTCCTCCTCCTTGCTGGGTGAGTAGCCCAGTCCAACCCCAAAAGCTCCTGAGTAAGAGGAAAATGTCTCTTTAACAGTATTAAGGGACAATTTATTATGTGTATCCTTCCAGGGAAGCACAATGTCAGTGCAGGCCTATTGCATTTGCATTATTTCCAGACAACAGCAGCAGCAGAAAGGGACACTGATTTATTTTAGAGCAAGCACAGGTGAATTTAATGTCTGTTGGGACTGAGCCAGGGAGAACTTAACCCGTTCTGAGTCTTTCCACGGCATTAGGGGGAACCATCTGTTTTTGGAATGGATCTATTGGCTTCTTTGGTCAAATTCAGTTTTCCTGAGCCTGTGCTTCTCAGTCGCTTGGTAATAAAAGCTCTTACAGGGTGGAAGGGAGAGAAAAAATTGTTTTTAATGTCCTGGCCCTGCTAATTCCTTTCTGTACGACCTGGGCAAATAATTTAATCCTTTTGAGACTCAGTTTTCTCTTTTGAAAAATGGATGTAATCCACATGTTTTCACTCATAGGCGGTGTTGAACACATGAACACAGAGAGGGAAGCATCACACACTGGGGTCTGTTGTAGGGGGAGGGGAGGGACAGTGGAAGGTGGGGAGGTTGGGGAGGGATAACATGGGAGACATGCCAGATATAGGTGACAGGGAGATGGAGGCAGCAAACCACCTGGCCATGTATGTACCTATGCAGTAATCCTGCATGATCTGCACATGTACCCCAGAACCTAAAGTACAATAAAAAAAAAAGAAAAGAAAAATGGGTGTAATAATGCTATCCTGCAGGATTTTAATGAGAATCAACTAAGCAAATGTGTTATTGAGTGACTGGTGAATTGCATAAATGACATTGTTTTGGGGTGACATCAATTTGGGATTCCTGGGGCACAAACAGAAGTTTTGGTATTATCTTCAGGTATGTTGGCTTGGCTAGCTTAGCTAGCAGGGAGCTTTTTTTCAGAAGAATCATTCAGTGGGAGGTAATAACAGTTACTCTTTGAATTCTGGAATTAGAGAGTTATGAAACTCAAAAGGTCATGGTAGACAGTGTCTTGGAGACATCTCTTCCAAGCTCTGTTTTGGCAGATGGAAAAATGGAAGCTTACGGAAGCAAAGCAGGCTGTAAATATCTTGGAGGATGAGGTCAATCTTAATTATCTTTGCTTGTTGTTTCTTATCAGTAGACACCAGAATGCCCTGCACCCAGTGAATGCTCAGTAAGTGTTTGTGGAAGTGACAGAATTCCATCACTATTAAACACAACTGGTATTGCGGTTGACAGTCGTAGGTTGGAATATTTTCTCTTCTGATTCAGATTAGATGATAATATGATATTATTTTAATACTAAACCTTGCAAGGAATGTGTTTACTGGTCAACTGAGGCATCTCCAAAAAGGTCACGACCTCTATAAAGCCAGAAACATCCTGGTAAATCCTGTAGCTCCAATTTCTGACAGAAACTCCTTGAAACCTTAAAGAACAATTTCTTTTGTTAAACCACCATAGAATTTTAGTTTACACAGTAGGACACATTTACAAAATGTTGCCCAATACATTACTTTATTTACTTCTCCTAATGATCTGGTGAAGTATGCATTATTACTTCCACTTCTCAGAATAGGAAATTGAGGCTCTGAGAGTCTGAGTGATGACCCAATGATGTAGAGGCACTGTCAGAACTGGACCTTGAACCCAGATCTCTTTTTTTTTCAGTGTATTTCATTAATACTACCTGTAAAATACCAAGTAGATATCCCTTTCATCTGTTTCTTCCTTCCTCCTTTTACTCTTCCCTTCCCTCCCTTGTTTCTCACTAGGCACTGAAGCAGGTAAAGAATGAATATAGCAGTTCCTGTCTTTGAAGAGTTTGCAGCCTTCTGCAGAGGATTTACAGGTAAAAAGGTAATTCTAAAAGCAGAGGATCTTTATTACGCACTAACCCTGACTGAGCATAGCCCAAAGGGGTTAACAGACCTGCCTCGAAGATAGGAAAGAGAGATAAACCACTGTCAAAGATATAGTTGCTGCTGGAAAAAGAAATTGCTGAAATCCCCAAACACCCCTTTCAAAATATCTAGACTTTCAAAGCCATGCCTTCCCTTCTCCCCTCTCTTAGATGTGATGAATGAGAGAGAGATGTGTGTGTGTGTGTGTGACACATTCACCTGGAATCTGCAAGTCGCTGATCCTTTAAAACCTACTTTTGTAAATACCAATAAAACAAGTCTTGACACTTGTTCCTGAGTTCAGGGAATTCATTCAACCTGGAGCCCTGGAGGAGGGAAGCTACTCCCTAGGAACTTTTCCCCTTTTGGATATCTCACCTGAAACTGAAACTTGTCTCTCACTCTTCCCTTTTTCTGCCTTTCTTTGATTCAGAATATGTAATCCTCCCTGGTTATTCTCCTTTGTTCGCCTTCACTTTATCTAAGCAACAGAATAGTTTAGGTTTGCCAAATGAATGATACCACAAAGTGCTGAAGTCTGGGAATAATGCCTCATGGATACTGCATAACTATTTGTTTAATGAATACATGAAGGAGTGAATAAATGAATGAATAACGGCCTAGTTCAAATACTGCCTCTGTCATTTACCAGTTGCCCAACTTTTTTTGTTGTTTGTTTCTATATGTGGAGGTCTTGCAAACTCGTCACTGAGTTTATTGTAGAGAATGGTAATAGGAAATGGGATTGTACAAAGGAAAGAGATGGAGACAAAACTGGATGAAGGTTTCACACTGAGTGTCCCATCCACAGGCCTCAGCAGCCCTGCCACGGATCTGCCTGATTCTGTCGCATCAGGAAGTTGACCTTGCGAGTCATTTCCATGTTGTAGCTCCGCCGGCACTTTTCATAGCTTACCCTCTGTCGCTGGCGGCATGGCTTCTCATAATACCGCCGACGCTTAATGTCCTCAATGAGCCCATCCATAGTGAGGATTCTGTTTAGGGTCCTGCATGCGCTTTCCACGTTCCCCTCCTGTACCATCACAGTCCTTGCGATGAACTTCAGATGTCTTGCCATGACCTTGGATTTAAGTCTTCACTCCAAAGCCTGGCACGCTCAGTACCTAGCCGACCCCAGTTGCCCAACTTTAAGACAGATATTTAACCTGTTTGTGCCTCAATTTCTTGTCCTTCTCTATTGTGTATAAGAGATTATAAAAATGTATATACAAGCATGCCTTGAGATATTGTGGGTTTGGTTACAGACCACTGCAATAAAGCAAATATTGCCATAAAGCAAGTCACATGAAGTTTTTGGTTTTCCAGTGCATATAAAAGTTATGTTTACACTACTGTAGTCTATTGTGTGTGAAATAGCGTCATGTCTAAAACATGTACACATCTTATTTTATTTTTTAATTTTTTTTGAGACTAAGTGTCACTCTATCACTCAGACTGGAGTGCAGGGGCACAATCTTGGCTCATTGCAATCTCCACCTCCCAGGTTCAAGTGGTTCTCCTGTTTCAGCCTCCCAAGTAGCTGAGATTACAGAGGTGCTTGCCACCATGCCTAGCTAATTTTATTTATTTATTTATTTATTTTTATATTTTTTTGAGACGGAGTTTCGCTCTTGTTACCCAGGCTGGAGTGCAATGGCACGATCTCGGCTCACCGCAACCTCCGCCTCCTGGGTTCAGGCAATTCTCCTGCCTCAGCCTCCTGAGTAGCTGGGATTACAGGCATGCGCCACCATGCCCAGCTAAGTTTTCATATTTTTAGTAGAGATGGGGTTTCACCATGTTGACCCGGATGGTCTCGATCTCTTGACCTCATGATCCACCCGCCTTGGCCTCCCAAAGTGCTGGGATTACAGGCTTGAGCCACCGCGCCTGGCTGAATTTTATTTATTTATTTATTTATTTTTATAGAGACAGGGTTTCATCATGTTGGTCAGGCTGGTCTTGAACTCCTGACCTCAGGGGATCCACACACCTCGGCCTCTCAAAGTGCTGGGATTACAGGCTTGAGCCACCATGCCCGGCCTCCTAATTTTTAAAAAACTTTAAAAAGCTAATTTTTAAAAACTTTTAATTTTTTTGAGACAGGGTTTCACCACGTTTGTTGGGCTGATCTTGAACTCTTGACCTCAAGTGATCCAACTGTCTTGGCCTCCCAATGTGCTGGGATTATAGGTGTGAGCCACTGCACCCATTCTTTTATGTGTGTGTATATACATACATATATATATATATATATATATATATATATATATATATATTTAAATTGCATTTTCGGTTCTGGGGTACATGTTAAGAATATGCAGGATTGTTGCATAAGTACATACATGGCAATGTGGTTTGCTGCCTCCATCCCCATCACCTATATCTGGCATTTCTCCCCATGTTATCCCTCCCCAACTTCCTACCCCTCACTGTCCCTCCCCTAGTCCCCGCCACAGACCTCAATGTACAATGCTCCCTCCCTGTGTCCATGTGTTCTCATGTTCAACACCCGCCTATGAGTGAGAACATGTGGTGTTTGATTTACTGTTTTGTGTCAGTTTGCTGAGAATGATGGTTTCCAGGTTCATCCATGTCCCTATAAAGGATATGAACTCATCGCTTTTTGTGGCTGCATAGTATTCCATGGTATATATGTGCCACATTTTCCCTGTCCAGTCTATCACTGATGGGCATTTGGGTTGGTTCCAAGTCTTTGCTATTGAAAAGAGTGCTGCAATGAACATACGTGTGCATGTGTCCTTATAATAGAATGATTTATAATTCTTTGGATATATAACCAGTAATGAAATTGCTGGGTCAAATGGAATTTCTATTTCTAGGTCCTTGAGGAATTGCCACACTGTCTTCCACAATGGTTGAACTAATTTACACTCCTGCAAATGTGTAAAAGTATTCCCATTTCTCCACATCCTCTCCAGCATCTGTTGTCTCCATTTTTTTAATGATCGCCATTCTAACTGGTGTGAGATGGTATCTCAATGTGGTTTTGATTTGCATTTCTCTAATGACCAGTGATGATAAGCATTTTTTCGTATGTTTTTTGTATTTCTTCTTTTGAAAAGTGTCCATTAGCCACTTTTGAATGAGTTTTTTTTTCTTGTAAATCTGTTTTAGTTCTTTGTAGATTTTGGATATAAGTCCTTTGTCAGATGGGTAGCTTGCAAAATGTTTTTCCCATTCTATTGGTTGCCGGTTCACTCTAATGATTGTTTCTTTTGCTGTGCAGAAGCTCTGGAGTTTAATTAGATCCCATTTGTCTATTTTGGCTTTTGTTGCTAATGCTTTTGGTGTTTTAGTCATGGAGTCCTTGCCTATGCCTATGTCCTGAATGGTTTTGCCTAGGTTTTCTTCTAAGGTTTTTATGACGTTAGGTCTTATGTTTAAGTCTTTAATCCATCTGGAGTTAATTTTAGTGTAAGGTATTAGGAAGGGGTCTAGTTTCTGCTTTCTGCACATGGCTAGCCAGTTTTCCCAACACCACTTATTAAACAGGGAATCGTTTCCCCATTGCTTGTTATTTTCGTCTGGCTTGTCAAAGATCAGATGGTTGTAGTAGTATGGCATTGCCTCTGAGACCTCTGTTCTGTTCCATTGGTCTATATCTCTGTTTTGGTACCAGTACCATGCTGTTTTGATTACTGTAGCCTTGTAGTATAGTTTGAGGAAAAATATGGAACACTTCATGAATTTGCATGTCATCCTTGCACAGGGGCCATGCTAATCTTCTTTGTATCATTCCAATTTTAGTATATGTGCTGCTGAAGTGAGCATGGGAGGAATGTTCTTCAAGGCTGAGGAGGCTTGGGAGGATGGTCTTTTGTTAGCTGTGAGGAGTTTAGGATTTAAATACACATAGGAAAGGATTCAGGAGAGGGCATTTCAGGCAGTAATACTAGGGTAAAAGAGTGACATCTGGAATTTTCAGAAGGTAGGAGAGATAGAATGAAAAGCAAGGAGTCAGAAAATGCAGTAGAAAAAGGTGAGGAGATGTGGGGAATGCAGATGGTCAAACGGGTTTGTAAAACTAAATTGTTGATTATGTATTGCATAGCCATTATGTGCTGCTGATACAAAATATGACACAGACTATGTACCCAAGAAAGGAGCCTGGTATTCCACATTGTAAGGGTGACAGCAGAAGGGCATTTCACATGCCATTAGTACAGAGGAAGGAGTATGCCTGAGTATTCACTTAGGCTTCCAGAGGCCTCACAGTGAAGGTCTGGGCTCTCCAAGGATTTATTCATTCTCTTTCACTTGTTTGCTAACTAGCTTATTCACTCATTTAACATGTATTCTTGAGCACCTGTTTATTTGCTAGGTGTTGATCTGGGTGCTAGAAACAAGGCAAACACAATCCTTGGGCATAAGGTCAACAGAAGATCTCCCAGGGTTGATAGGGAGAACTCCTGTTCCAGGCAGAGAGAATGATGTGACAGAAAACAAAACAAAACCAAGTCATGGAGCACTTAAAAGCAAGCATGGGTTTTCCACTGTAGCTCAACAGGAAAGGGATGAATGGTTTGTGGTCCAAGAGTCACCTGGGGGTTGACACTGTCATCATGTGGCAGACATGTGAAGGAGATGGAAGACACTGAACAGGAGAGGAGCATGGCCAGATTTATAGCTTAGTATTAGACTACTGGTGGCAGGTGGAATGGAGTGGGCTGAGTGAGCCCTCTTAGAGAAATACCGAAGGAGAGAGCGAAGAGCTACCCATGGAGGCAAAGGAACAGTTGGAGCCAGATAGTGAGATGAAAAAATATTTCTTGAGGCAGGGTACTCCCTGCAGTGAGTCAGGGTTCAAGGACGAAGCACCAGCTACTTGTCAGAGGGTGGAGAGGGGCAATGAGATCCTAAGTGCAGCAAGAGGGGGCCTGAGGGTGAGGAGGAGGCAAACGTTTCCTTCACAATGGCAGGGACCATAATTGTGGAGGAAAGACAGATGGTCCATTTCTGCCAGGTGCCAACCCTAGCAATTACCCTCTGCAGGAACTCACCCTAGCCCTCTGGGAATAAGGAGTGGGTTTATTGGTATCAGTTCCATGCTTTTGTAGTGGGAAAACTATGATATCTGAGGATGAGTCAACCAGTCCAACCAAGACTGGTTGAAAACAACTTTGATGGAGAAGGCTAGGAGAAAACAAAAATCAAATCCTAAGAAATCCATGTGTCAAAACAAAACGAATACATCTTGATTCATTGCCGTTCTTGCAAAGTCTCTTCTATCCAGCTAATGTCTTCCCATGCCAGGGGAAGCAGCATGAGGAAAAGTCAACATAACAAATTTTGCAAAGTCTCTGCTCTTATTTACATTTCTTTTCCTCTCAGATTTTCCCATACCCCATTCTGAAGAACACAGGCAGAAATCCCCAGCCCCTCCAGCAAATTCTTTTCTATCAAGGGATTCCTGTTGCTTCTTTTTCATAGCACCTTTTACCTGCCTCCCCATGACACTTCTTCAGTTGAAGTCCCATCATCATCTTCATCATCATCATGATCATCATCATCATTGTTTTTACATGGAGGCAGAACTATTTATTTCCTTTTAGGTGTTTCATCACCTAGTATAGTGTCTGGCTTGCAACTCAACAAATGAATGTTTGCTGAACCTACTAAATTGTGAGGGGGCAGGTAATATGTGTTCTAGAATCTTGTCATACCTGACTTTGCAAGGGAGACTCATGAAGACCAGGAGACAAGAGGGTTTTAAGCAAAAACACTCCTATGCATTCCTTATATCTGCACTGCTCACTCTGCATGCTTAAAAATAATTTGTTTTAGATGAAGCTGCATGTGGTCTCTTGTGATGGCTCATAAATTCCAGTTGGCAGAAACAGCTGGGCTAGTTGCCTGAGAATCTCTAGAGACTGTAATTCAGTAGTTTTGGGGTGGGCCACCAGAATGAAGAAAAAAATATATGTATCTTTCTCTTTTCTCTTTCCTTATGTCTCTTATCCACCCACCCATCCACCCATCCATCCATCCATCCATCCATCCATCTGTCCGTCTGTCCGTCTGTCCATCCCTCCATCCATCCATCCATCTATCCAAAAGTTTAGCCAACACTACTGAGAGGGAAAAGCAGTAGAACTGGAGTTTGG